AAATTAGGTGTCTATTTACTTGTGACCACTCAGTGTATAGTTAAAACATTTCGACGATAATTTTGCTACAGTAACAAAAATATCTCTGTTATGTTATTAATTTAAAAATAAGTTCATTATATAAGAATACTTAACACACTATGAAAAAGCAGGTATAGTTTAAAATGATTCTTTTTTTGTTCTCGAAAACCTCTTTTACGCCATTTTGGCGTAATTAAAATACTGTTGTAGCGTATTATATTGTTGGGCTTTTTTTTTTTGGGGGGGGGGGTATATTGTAAAAATAATGCCAAGTCCAGTCTACTTAATGATCAGAAATTACTATATTTCTTCATTCATGCTTGTTACAGGCTAATTTCACTCTTACTCAGTTGTAGGCCTAAGTACACAAATAACGTTTTCACTTTCATGAGAATTTCTCTCCTAACTGCATGATTAACTTAGTAGACTGCAAACACTGAATATACGTGATCACTCACTAACTTCTTATTCACTACTCAAATGAATATATCACTGAACCCTACTAACTGACTGCGTACTAGAATTTATACTGATGTACCTACATGTATGTTTAGATATTAGTTGAATTTACTAGATCTTAACTTCATGTGTACTCTAACTAACATCTAAAGTAAAACAACGAAAATATAGATTACAAACAACACTATATTGTTTCTCTATTTTAAGTTGAAATATTTGTGCAAAGCCCATTGTGACAGTTTTCTTCTGGAAATAAAAATACAATACTGTTTGTTTTGTTATTCTTTAACTCTTGTCATGTAGTTTTGTGTATTAATCTCGTTATTCTTAAGTAAACTGAAAGAGCAGAAACCATCTACTGCTGTTTTAAGTTTTTTCATAGATTAATTAAAATGTTTCATGCCCCCTAGTGGCTCAACATGGTGGTAATTCCGAGAGCTTTAAATGCTAAAAGTAGGGTTTTGATACCGGTGGTTGACAGATCAAAGATAGACCATTGTGTAGCATTGCGCTTGACAAGAACAACAACAGTCTTTATGCAAAAAGCATTTATTAAGTGTGACAGGTAACAGGAAGGCGTAGTAACTTTTGTCACTGCCCCCAGGTAAAATTATTTTTAGTTGAATGTTTTCAGACGAACAAGTGAAGCTGAATTTAGAGTTCTTTCTTCTTCCTAAGTTCTTAGAAAGTTTTACTTGTTGGTGAAATTCTTGGGGGTTTAATGACCTTGTTATTAATGCTAGAATTTTTATCCTGGATCGCTACGAAAAACAGTGTTGTAATCAATATAAATTACAATACTTTTTGTTACCAAAATACCAATGCAACATTAAGGTATTATAATGTTTTTATGCACGTCTTTCCAAATAACAAGTACTTTTAAAATAGCTAGTCAAACAGTCTATAATGCTCTCCACCATTTCAAAAACTTCAAATAACATTGTTAAAAAATCAGTAAGAGAAAGCGAGGCCTCTTCTTTAAAAAGAAAAATCGCATATTCTGTTAAGATACACACTAGCTGCGTCATATTGTTATACAGTTCCTTACAAATAAAAACTGTTACCTTGACTACTCACAGTATTATGTTGCCAAAACGCTTCTTCAGAACAACTGCGGACACCAAAAGATCATGTAAATCCTCTAGGTTTAGTGCTAACATTTGCTATAGCGATTATAGCTGAATTTTGATTAAAGTTCTGTTTCTTTCGCTTATGTTCTAGTAACTTTTGTTGAAGATCGGCTTTGATTTTCACGAAATAAAAATTCATCTAGAAAGATTAATTGTTTATATTTTACAAATGGAGTTATCAGAAGCTTTATTTTCACCATCTATTTTGATGTATTTTTAATTTCACGCAAAGCTACACGAGAGCTATCTTCGCTAACCGTCCCTAAGTTAGCAGTGAAAGACTTAGCGGGAAGGCAGATAGTCATTACCTCACATCGCCAACTCTTGTACTACTTCTTTTACCAATGAATAGTGGGATTGACCGTCACATTATAACGCCCCCACCCCGGCTAAATGGGCGAGCATGTTTGGTGGGACCCTCGGATTGCTAGAAAAAGGCCCAAACAACCTAGCCATGCCAGGCCCCTATCAATGTTTACACATAGCTTGGAAAATTGATTAGACTTAATAAAATTCGTTTGAAAGACTGAGTATCACGAGGTGTAAATTCAAGCAATAAATGGTCCGATATTCCATAATGAAATCGCTTTTACAGCGTGAAATACAGCCTCGGGAAAGATCTAAAATGCATTGTTTCTGCTCATTTTAAAACCATTTTGATTTACAGTAAATGAAAACTGTTTTTCTGTCATTGTCAATTAACCTCTAATAAATCTAAGTTTGTGTATCACAATAATTAGCTCGTTCTGGTTTAAATAATAGTTGGGCTTTGTTTTTTTTTCTTCATACAGATCTTAAGTACCAGCTACTTCTCAGTTAAAGTTTTTGTACGAGATTTTGGTTTTCTAAATAGATGGAATCAAACAAAGCTTTGTTACCACGTCACGGAACTACGTTTCAGACGTCCTTGTTCCGTTTGCTAGGTAACAACACTGGCGCGAGTAAAGTCAAGGTATTCCATTTACTCTTAGCTAATGACCTTGTAGAGACCTGTTAGATGTTCGACAAGGTCACTTTCAGCGAATGTATAGCCAGGATCTTTCCAGATAATTGTTGACGTCGGTCTGAGTGCCAGTTATTGGATAACCCAGCTGGGAGAGCATCTAACCGACCTACTTTTTTTCCATCGAATGCCGAGGGAACAAGGCTGAGAGCAAAGTTATCCTTCGTAAAGTAGTAAACAAGTCTTTTGTGTTTTCAATGTTAAATTGCTCCGTGAAACAAATATGGGAGTTAATGGACTATTCGGGTTTATTTCTGTGTTCGTGAAAACCTCGTTACACCATTTTCATTTACGACGCATTGGACCACACCTGACAAAAGGCCAAGCGCCCCCCCTCCCTAAACTTTTTTAACCT